TTCTTGCTGCATATCTCGAAAACCGTTTGAGCCAGAGAGCTAAAATATGAAACGTTTTCATGGGTCTTCAATGCCAACATGCCCAATTTTTTTTCAAGCCAATCAGAGTCTGATGCCCAACGAAAGAGACTAAAATTTGACCACTTCACCTGTATTGCCTCCGACATGAGGTATCTCTTACCATTTCCCTCAAGAGTTCAGGAACATTTATGGAATGTGATGAAAGACGAATGTGATTAAAAACGAAGGCGAAGAGTGAAGGAAGTCCTTCGGTACACAACGAATTTATTTCCTTCAATTCTTTTCTGCTCTAAAACTTTTTACTTTGTCTCCTTCAATTATTTTCCCTGTTTTGCGTTGGCAGTTTCCGGCATCCCGAATTTCCCATTTCCAATCATTTTTTGTTTTGGAAACGAAAAAAGTCACCAGCTCCTGAAGTGACGGCGAAGAGACTCACAATTAGTCTGCATGTATTATTGCAGGATCCGGGAGCAAACGAGGCCAATCCACGCCAGAACAGAATTGCACCCGGATTTCCAAAGAGAAGAAATTCCTCGCAGCCCCACAGCTGGCTTAGTCTCATCTCGCCTCTTTTTTTTCTCTCTTTTTTAGACGACCAAATGTGATCCAGCCAAAGCGGATCTCGAGAACAGTGTTGCCAGATCGTACGAACCGGATTCGGTCCACCGAGCCGCCTTCGTCTTCAAGTTCACGGTCTCGTTGCAAATAAATTGCATCGAAGCGAGCGAATCTCCACTCGAGTTACGGCTGTAAATTGCCCCATGAAAATACGAACGGAAGAAAATCTTGGATTTAATTGTTGCTGTTGAGTGCAACCGAGACGCCGCTGCCCCGCGAATTTTCCAATCGGTCGTCGTCCAATTCGGATTCGAGAGCTGTTACTCGGCTTCGGATCGGACAGCCCTGTCAGAGGGAATAACCTCTCGCGTGATGTGTGCAGGCTTACATCTGCTCTCATGGCTTATATCTGCCCTAGTCTATCATATAAATGAAGGGGATTAGGTCGCCGAAATGGCAGGAAACCTCCGAGCTCCTCAGTCGCCGCCTCGCAAAGTTGATCCTCCGCTTCGATTACATTCGTGTCGCCAAGTCGATGCACATCTCGCAGGTCGTTTTTCTGCTCTATTATTACGGCCGTCAGGTGATAAATTAATGAGAAGCTTTTTTCACTGTCAGCTCTGCGTTCAACCGAGAAATAACGCGGCTGGACGTGTTATTTCCATATATTACTCATTTCTCCCATTTCTTTCTGTCGATCCCACGCGACGAGTTGTCGTCGTACCGAGAGAAGAAAATTGTAAATAAAAAAAAGGATTTTTAAAATACTTTAAAAAATCGATAAATTCTCCCTCCATGGAATCTCACGAAACATGTGACTTCCTGCAGGAGCACCGGTTTTGAGACAGAAAGATGCCAGGGAGGAAAGCGAGCACGCTCTGGACGGGGCTCTGCGTCCTCCTGATCGTCACCGGTCCGCGCGCGGTCGCGTCCAAGAGGTTCACCCGGTGCGAGCTGGCTGAGAGCCTGGCCGGGCTCGGCTTTCCCCGATGTCAGCTCGGCGACTGTGAGTTTCTCCATTCGCATGCCGATCCGTTAAGATTGCATTTGACGAAATCGCATGAAATGCGCGATGCAGGGGTGTGCCTCGCGGAGAACGAGAGCGCCCTGGACAGCTCCGTTCGCGGTCCCGTCAACTGGGACGGATCTTACGATTACGGCATCTTCCAGATCAACAACAGATACTGGTGCTACCCGAACGCATCCGGCGGCTGCCGCGTCCCCTGCCAATGTAAGCCGACCTTCCGTTTTTCGCTCAGCGTCGTACGAACCCGAAACTAAACGCACTCGCCTGGATGCAGCTCTGCTGAACGACGACATCGCGGACGACGCCCAGTGCGTGAGGATGATATTCGACGAGTCCCAGCGGCTGAAAGGGAACGGATTCCTCGCCTGGGAGGCATGGAAATCCAAATGCCAAGGAAGGGATACTGCATCCTACGTGAAGGGATGCGGGGTCTAGATTCCATTCCGGCCGATTCTCAGCGAGCGTCATGGAGCCTCGAGAATAAAACTGTCTACATTCCTTGTCTCTATTCTATTTGATATAATCCCTGGGGTGATCTCTGCTCCCGAGTTTAATGTAACTCGGTTATAACGACGGTTTTTACCTGGTTCCTTCCATGACGTTATTACCGAGTTCGACTGTATTCTCGTTGAAGGATCCATTACGTCGTGTAACGGTAATCGGCAAGCCAAATCGCCTCAAATTTTCATTTCGCACCAGCGAGGCGACCCAGGGGGTCCGGCGACGTCGTCACGCGCGGATTCATAGAGATGCGTCCGCACTTCATCCTTCCCCCTACGAAGGATTCGCTGCTTTGCGGCCATCCGCCATTCCTTCGCAGTTCTCGGAAGTTCACGAGGGAGCTGCTTCTTCCTCGTTCCACTAATGAAGCTCACGGGCGCTTCATTATGCTTCACGGGCGCTTCATTATGCTTCACGGGTGCTTCATTATGCTTCACGTGCGCTTCATTAGGCTTCACGTGCGCTTCATTAGGCTTCACGGGCGCTTCATTAGGCTTCACGGGCGCTTCATTGGGGTTCGTGGGAGGCATTTAAACCTGCCGAATCGGACTCGTGGAGTCCAATAACGACAGTGTCTCGACCGTTCGACAAAACCGAATTTCTGGGGAAATCCCAACCAGCTTTTTCTATAGACCATAACTAAGATTTTAAGCATTTAACTTGAACATGAGATATAAAATTGGAAAGTCGAGAACATTCTCCAAATACGGTTAAATAATTTTAAAATCGAATAAGTTAATGTATGAATGAGGTAAATTTCTGCAGATATCGGGCACATAATAATGCAAATATATATTTGTGTATGGATATAATAAAAACCCTGCTGCGTATTCGTCGTCAGGTCAAAAAATCGATATTTACCGGCCATAAATTCATTCATGGATTTATGGCCGGTAAAATGGATTTATGGCCGGGAAATATAGATTTTTTATTATATGGCTAAATAACCGCCACCGTTCGATTCCGCCGTTCCGATTTCGCGAGTGACATGCACGTTTCGTGCGAAAACGGCGACCGGGCAAAATCCCATCGGATTCGAGAATCCTCCTTGATTTGAACCCCACGTTGGGAAAACGCCGCAAGAGCGTAAGAGGCGACAAAATTAGAAATGATTGAGGAAATGATTGAGCCTGTTATTTTGGAACGCACGAAAACACTCCGTCTGGCCGAGCGAGATATGCCTTATCGTTTTCCCCCTGCCAGGTGCTTTCGAACCGCAACGGCGTAGCTCGATAAAGGATCCAGCGATCCATAGTGGATTCCTCGTTTCGCGTCATTCCCCATTTCGCGGCGCTTCCCATTTCGCGGCATTCTTCATTTCGTGTCATTCCTCATTTCTTGTTGCACTTACAATGATTTCATCTTCAGAAGAAGAGTCGATCGCGACCAAGGCAAAAGGGAGTGAATCGCAAATGAAATGACGTAATTAAAAAAATGAGAAAGCACCCGTGCACGACTCTTGCTGCGGATCCACCAGCCTGAATCGGGGCGAAAAAAAATCGGCCACCGAATGCGATCCGCCCCGTCCTGGTTGCGCCACTCGAGAGACGATCGGTGCCACGAAAACGCCTTATCGCGGAGAGCGAAAGAGATAAGGGCGGAGGAGACGCGAACGCTTTCCAGTCGGCCCGCGAATCCTGCGATCGTTCGCGGATTTTCCTTGCGAGCCGGAATCACCTGTGACGTGAACGTGCCGTGATCACGGAGCCGCGCGATGAATCGGGGACGGAACGACCCGGACGGTTCGTATCGGCAGGTTCGGATCTCCGGAGGGGAAGAAGGGGATCGTGAAATTCGGAAAAGAAAATGGACGGGTCTCATGAAATTCTAAAAATGGACCGGTCTCATGAAATTCCATGACGGTCCCTAAACCTCCCTCGGTCCGGCCGTTCCGTCGCGTTCCACCGTCTGCCCCGTCCGCGCGAAGGCATACGCGAAGGCGAGAGGTCATTAATTCCCTTTATCGTTTTCGTGAGGTGAGGAGCGGTGATGCCTCGGGATGCAGCATCCAGATATTAATTTGTGATCAGTGAAAGTGATATGGGACTGCAAAGATATGATACGTGACTGCAACGACCCCGTCACCTTTCGTCTTGCCAGATGATGAATCCTTCGCACGGCGCAAGAAATGGTCATATCCTCTGCTATAAGGCCCCCTTTCTCAGTCATTGCCCCTCCTCACCACCACTTGCCTCCACCTCGCGCCCCTCCTCACCACCCCTTGCCTCCACCTCGCGCCCCTCCTCACCCCCTTCCTGCTTCCCACACCCCTCACTCCCTCATTCTCCCAGGAAATGAAATGACTTTGGAACCCGTTTGACCTTTTCCACTCACGCCGTCCCTCCTTCCTTTTTTTTCAGACTATTTCCTCATTTCTCTGCTCATCATCCTCGGGATATTCTTGGCCGTCTTCTTGCTCATCTACTGGGTCCGTTCATTTCCGCAGATTCTTCATGCCCGTATTATTCTTTTTTCGTGTCAGTTTTTAAAGGATCGACCAACATGCGTTTCTGCCCGTTTCGATGTTGCGTCGAGTTTCTGCAATCGTCCGGAAAAAAAAATGAATAATTTTAAAGCGAAACAGGCATTCTCATGCGTGTTCATGCGAAGTGCAAAAACGTGTAAAGAGACGGATCGGGGGAATTCGCCCGGAGTTTCGTCTTACGTACACTTTCGGCCGCTCCATAAACGCATCTGCTCGAAGAAAGATGCAGAAATGTGCAGAGCGAGGCCAAAGTGTCAGGCGGGGATCGCCTCCCTCGAGTACTCGCACGTACGCCTCAAGTACCTGCAACTGCGATGTACCGATGCGAATGAAAGCGTCTCGCATTTCTCACACGTTTCGTATAATTTATTTCATTTTTACATGTATTTTATCATGTATTTTACCATGATGCTTGTACTTGTCAGATCGTTCGGTGCGTCCGAGAGGGACCCGGCCGCTTCCGGCTGCCGTTCCGGAGTCTCGTGAAGATCCCGACCATCACGTACAGGAAAGGCGATCCCTACGACACCTGCGCCATCTGCCTCGAAGACTACGAAGAGGGAGAGAGGCTCCGGGTCCTCCCTTGCTCACACGGTCTGACGCTGACTCCCCTCCCCGATATCAATAAAGCAGGAGACAAAAAAAAACAGATCATCGAGAGAGGCCATTAATATTAATCAGCAGTCATTGAGTTAATTAATGGCAAAATCAATCAGCAGACGAGTTGATTGCAATCTCAACGTGTCAGAAAATCCGCAAGAAAAGCTTCCACTTCGGCGATCCCAGTCTCGATATTTTGACATTTTCACCTTTTCTCCTGATGCACGCCGTGAACTTCACCGCAATGGTCAGTACCGCGGTGCCCAGTTTTAAAATCATGGTAAACGTTTCTTAAATGCGGCGAAAATGTTTGCAATCGTCGAGTAAACCCCATTGAAACTGGTTATTTTGCGGGTTCAATCCCAGTCGAGATCGGGATCAGCAGGAAAGATCACACTTGCTCTAAATAATCGGTCATGGGGGCAAGTGTGATATAACGTTTCCTGGCGGCATTTCGTGACATGTTTTTCATGACATGTTTTTTTTTCGCGTCGTATTGTTTCCATGAGATGGCAAGAAGACTAGAGGAGTTTCAAGTTGGTGATTTGAAAATCAATATTTAAAAATCGAAGGCCAACTGGTACTTCGGTACTTGGAACCGGTACTTCGGTACTTGGAACTGGTACTTCGGTTCCTGAATAAATTTTTCTAGATGAAATAATTAGTTCCGGATTGAAATGCGAGTCGCTCGATGGAGAATGATGGACTCGACGTGATCGCAGCATTCCACGCCGAGTGCGTGGACCCGTGGCTGACGAGGACGAGGCGAGTGTGCCCGTGCTGCCAGCGGAGGGTCCCGGACTCGGAGGCAGGCGGCGAGGACGACGAGACGGCGCCGCTGCTGGGGGGCGCCGGGGGGGCGCCGAGGACGGATGGAGGCACCTTCGTCAGCTACATCCTGCCGAGTGGCAGCGACGCGTCCGTCCTCCCTACGTCCTCCTTCCCTTCTTCCTCCGCACCCCTCCTCCCAGTCGCTGGTGAGTCCTCCTCGCGTGAGTTCATTTTCGAACCATTTTCCTCGACGTTATTCGCTTAATGTGGATGAGGAATTGTGAGACTTGGAGCGAAATTCACCAGATCGCCTCAACTTAAACCGAGTCATAACGGTCCCCTATGGGAACCGACTCGCCTGAGATAATTTTACCCCCATAGACGCCCATCATCAGATCAGATCAGCCTTGAGTCGATCCGGATCCGGATCCGGCGCACGTCACCCTCAACCCCCGATAGGCTGACATACCCGCTCTCATCACACTCTGAAAACTCGGCAGGTCCTTCGACCGGAAGCGACGTTCCACCCGGCGAGTACTCCATCAACGGAGACCAACACGACGGAACCTGAAGACCCGACGTGGAAATTTCCAAAGGAGATTTTCACTATCTCCACGACGATCTCGCCCTCAAGAAACGTGGTCGTTTCACCTGAACATTCTTGTCCTGTATTCGCCGTTCCTAACGGAATCATTCCCTCCCAAAGGCTTTTATTGGTCCAATGGAGTGCACTTCTTGTAAGAGCTGTCATATTTTCCTTACTTTATTTGCATTTTTCATTTCGCACGGTTCCACTTCAGCACGTGACTTTTTTCTTGCACGCAACTTTGGACCGATCAGGCTTACATCGAGCCAAATTTTCAGAACGGTGTAATGCCTGAAAAGATCCAGGCATCAGGAACAGCTTCAGTCTCGATCTGGAGTTTTAGGAAGAGTATCACGTTGAATACTGACCGAACAAATTTTGGCAACATTTTCCCCCCCAATGCATAAGCCATGCACTTGATACACTTGATCTATTCGCGAATTTCTCCTCCATGAGGAATGGCCTAGATCTCAGACTTCCTGAAAAAAGTATTATATAAACCCAGGCGTTTCCTCGTCGGAAATGAAGAACGACAGTGCAAGAGACGGTGCGAGTGACCATTTCATCATCGAGGAAAGCAGAAGACTTCGTGAGAAAATGAAAATTTGAGAAAAAATCACATAATGAAGACGACGAAGTTGATGGAATTCCAAAGATCATGCCCCACATTCCCTTTCCCTCAAAATCATCAATCCACTTCTTGCGATTAGGATAATCCACGCCCAGGGCCTCAGCGAATCCTCGTCGGCACCGGCTCGATTCCGCCGATGGCTCTGGGTCCCTGCCGGTCCCTGCCGGTCCCCGCCGGTCCCCGCCGGTCCCCGGCCGGTCAAAGTGGCTCTGTCAATGATCTGCAAAGGAACCCATCGTCGGTCGACTGGCTCGGGCGCAGGCAAGGGTTTGGGGTTTAGAGAGCACGGGCGATTCGATTAAGGAAACAGATGCGTGAGAACATTGTCATTTCATTCCAAAGATATGCATAACCGATGAAGCCATTCGAGCAGGTGTTACGCAACCTGCCGTGGTGTACGGTGCCGGACGGTTCTTGTGAGTCCTCGAGCCCGACGGTTCCGAAACCGTGGGATGCTGTCTGGGGAGGTTTCAGAAGCTCCAAGATGTTCGGACCGCGTACTGGATCCCATTTTTTTTTTAGTGCCGTTCTTTTGGGCGTGTGAGAGGTCTCATAGTTGGAGTTTTGTGCACCAGCGAATCGGTGACGATGGCTGAATTTCCAGCGAGTCGCAGTTCATACCCTAACAACCTGTGGATTTTCTCACCGAGAAAGAAGAGAGGCCTCAAACGAGGCAGATCCTCAGCCTTTTTGCTGGAGCTATTCTCCCATTGGAGACAATAACACTGACCCAAATTGCTATTTCCAAACTGATTTTTCCAGGCAGTGCCAAATAAAATTACTCTCCTTACTGCCGGACGGGAAATGCACATGAAAAATACCCTTGTAAGAATGCACGAAGCACCTCATTAGTGAAATTTGAAGCATGACAATCGAGTTCGCAAAGCGCAAGCTCCACCTGCTCGGAAGACCGATATTCGCAACAGCTTCTGATCGATTCAATCTTCTTTACCATTCATCGCTCATTTACCTATGTTTTACCGCAGTTTTACCCGTCATTTACCTTTTGTTACCTACAGAATATCCCTTACCCCGGACTTACGAGGGCCACTCAATAAGTTATCTACCTGAATATGAAAGGGATGAGCAACAGACCTGTGCCTGCTGTGACATGTCTCGACAGGTCTCGTGAGTGCCCCACCACTATACCAGCTCAGTGGCTCGAGTCCGTTCAAAGTGGTAGCGCATTAGATTTCTTTTCCCGAGTCTGTGTCATGGATTTGACGAAAGTCGAACATNTTGAGTGACCCTCGTACCTCTTATTTCAAGAATACTGATGTACTTGCCACTTCATGTGATAGGTGTACCATCAACACTGGGACTATTATTAAAATATTTTAATCACAACACCCATATGGGCGGTATGATCTAAGAATAAAGTCGTTACACAAGCGAATCACGTCGTGAAATGGTCGGCAACATTTACTCCTAAGCTCTCGACATGTCGGTCCGATCACGAGTCTCCGAATTCCGAACGCACTTTTTACGCTACACTATCCCGAGTCGAACAGTCGAAAGCCCACAGACACTGAGATGAGCTTAGCCGAACGTCGAAAGGAACCGAGTCGCATCACGACACCAAGAACATTTTCGGGAAAGAGCCGAACACCCTGGGTTAACCGGAATTTCACCTTCGAGTCTCATCTCTTTTCGAGATCCTGCTAGAGGAGTCGTTTCCCCTGAGCTTCAGATCAAAATTCCCCTCTTTTCCCCCTCTCTCAACCTGTCAGAAGACCCCTCAGGTAAAGATTAGGTGAAAAAGCGGTTAAATATAGACGAATGAGGGGGTAACATTTTGCAAGGGTCGCCAGCTGCGCTATAACCTTGCAAAAAGGGTAGAAAACGAAAACTTGTTGGACGGAGCCGTTCTCCCTTACGACACAGGCTTGCCGCCCCTGGTTAAAGCAGTCTCGATCGGGCACATTTACCCGAAACCGGCAGACTTGTTTTTACAGCGAGAAACGAAATAAAAAAGACTCACGCCCTGCCATCCAGAGCTGAAGAACGTAATGCATCTCCATCCGCTTGAGCACGTTCACCAGCTTCTCGCAGGTCGAGACGGGGTTCTGCAGGAAGAGGAGGTCGAACGCCCCGTGCACCTTGTCCAAGTAGCCCCGCCTCTTCTTGATATCGACCTCCTGCGCCAATAGGATGAGGCGGGTGTCGGGGGCGCTCAGGTGGGACAGAAACTCGTCCACGTCGATGAAGCCGTCGTTCTCGCACAAGATGCTCCTCAGCGCTTGGAGTCGTTCCATCGCGCCTCAACGAACCGGAAAAAAAGGAATTCCAACATCTTTTCGATTCGGTTTTGGGATCCTTGCATAAATGAGCCTCGTGGAGCCTGGCGTGACGGTGCAGAAAAAGTTTGCACGGGAAAACACTCTGAGATGTGCACATAATAAACGATATCCTGAGGCTGAGACGCTCTCATGCAAACTGATACACGGTTAAAGCTGAATGACTTCTCTACAACACGATCCTATTCCCAGATCTGGCAGCTTTGCAATTCCTTCTTCTTTATTATTACATACAATTTCTTATTTGTTAATTATTTATATTGTAAACACTGCACTGCCAAGCCCAGATCACGAACAGGCACGTGGAAACTTATTCGGATGAGACACGAGCGATATCGACGTTCCTCGAGTCCCTTTCGATCGCCACGAAAAACACGGGGAAGCCTCCCCGTGGAGAAAATGCGAACCGCACGCGAAATTTAGCCTCCTCGTCGATCGCCACGTGGGAGGCCGACGCGTTCACGCCCGCCACGCCTCGCGCGAAGTCGAATCGAGCTCGACGGAGAAAGAGTTCGCTTGCTGGTGGATATTCCCGAGATGGAGATAGACATGGAGATTTCGTTCCCGGTGTGGCACGACGTGTCGGGGCTTCAATCATCCTTAGACGATTCGTACTCTTTTTTTTTCCATCTTTCTCGTCAACGACGAGTTGGACGTTGCTTGACTAAAGATCGATGAAATTTACAAATACGGGAAACGAGAGAACTGTAAGGGATGGGGTATGGCTTAGCACATGACTTAGCACGCGACATATCACCAGCATAGCCCAGTACTGGAGATCACTAACCACCTCAGTCTTCCCTCGATGGAAACAGAGATTAACTATATATATTTCTGGAGCTGTTCACGCGCACCAGACACAATGGCCGACGATGCTAGCCACAATGGCCAACAAAGACAGCCACAATGGCCAACAAAGACAGCCACAATGGCCGACGATGCTAGCCACAATGGCCAACAAAGACAGCCACAATGGCCAACAAATACAACCACAACGGCCAATGGCTACGGACTTCCCCCGCACCGGGCAGGCACCACGCGATGCAAGTCTCGACGCGTTCCGGTTCGTGGTTCGGCTTTTCCGCGACGTTCCCGTCGCTATCTTCGCCATTGCGGTCTTTTTTTGCACTATCTTCCTCACGATAAGGATTATCTTCGTCGTGCCGGCGACCATTCGTCGGCGCGAGGGACGCATGATCTTAACCGCTACGACTAGATGGATCTAAATTTCTGCCAAGTTTTAGCTTTCTATATCTCTCCATTTGATTGAAGCAAAAAATATTTATTCGATAGCATCGCCCCCCAATGTATATGCCCCCAGGGCATTTACCTCCAGAGTCCGAATTTTTCCCACCTCAGCATCCCAGTAGGTATCAGTATCAGGTTTCAGTTTTCTACCATATACGGTCATAATTAACGTCAGTCACTCCGTCACGATCACGCAGCCAACTCCGAAAACGTCCCTTTTTCGCCACTCCCCTAAGCATACTACGCGGAGCGCACCTTCCAGCCGTAGCGAGAGAGTTTCCCAATGCACCTCGGTGTCGGTGCAACCGCCGGGAATGAACCATCCGAGTGTGGGGGGTGGGGGGCGAGGGGGAAGGGGGTGGGGGAGTCCCCGGTCTCAGAAACATCCACGGCTGTCGTCGTGCGTCAGCTCATACGAATGGGAGGCAGACAGGGAAGATGCAGGAAACAGCACAGTCGCGAATCGCCTGTTCTTACTTGGAGCTCCAGTCTCAAAGTTTGTTTTCCCCGAAGCACAATGGATTCTGTTCATGGATGCGCTCGATAACGACGATGTGCTCTCGTCGTCGCATGGGAGGAATAAATACGGGTTCTGGGCTTAATCCCTTTGGAGAATATGTCGATTAGATCCGCGTGAGACACCGATTTGAAAAGGGATCAGGGTTTCATGTCGACCTGCTTCGCGCTCAAATCGGAAGGAACGAAGATCGTGGAAGGGATCCCTTAACTTTACATCGACAGATGAGAGCAATCACTGTTCGTGTGCAATGAATCGTGATTTCTTCAAGTACCCATCCCCTGAGTAATCTATCTAATAATTTAATTCGACGAGGTCTAAACGCTGTGGTGGTGGTGGTGATAGTCGTGGTTGTTACCCCCAACGCGCGGGCCTACGATGCTTTGCCAATATGGGTCATAGGCTAGGCCATCCACCCCTCAAAGCGCCAGGTCCATCAGGCATATACTACTCGAGACCATAGGCCTGGCCATCCAACGCTTTAAGCGCTAGGTCCATCGGGCTATACCAGTTAGAGCCATAGTCTGTGGCTCATCCTATTGTTTCCATGTGCTTCATACTTAGCTGTGTCTATCAAAGGGTGCTACTAGCTGAATGCGTGTCACGTTTTCACTGATCGACTGCAAGTTCTCCATTTTAATACATTCTTTGAAGTATTTTTTCTGTATGTTTTTTTTTTCGTTAGGTATATGTTTTTTTTTTTGTTAGGTCAAACGTGGCGGTTCGGGCCATCGCTTCCATGCAATAGTTTTCTATTTGCGTTTCACGTCATGGCCGATTTATTTGAGTTCTCATGATTGATGAAATCAAAATAATAACATGTTCTTTTTTTCATACGTTCCGCAAACGGGCCGCTCCCCCCATAAAAATGGTGGCGATTTTTGCGAGGTGAGGTCGTAAATGATGAAAGAGGTCCCACAGGACGGCGATGAGACAGTCGCTGCAGGTAATGAACGATTTTGCGCGGAAACAACGTTTGCCACTGTAGTTGCGGTGCGAGATGCCTAAATCGGTGCTTTAGGAGGTTCTGACTTAAAAACAACCGGAGCATTTATGGAGCAATTTTCTCAGGGTTCTCTTCCTAATGCTTCAAAAGGTGCTTCTACTGCCACTGCCAATGGCCAATTTCACTGCCAATTCTAATTGTTTTTACCCTCAGTATAATGATTCTCACATGATCGTAGAGCCCGTGACTTGGGGTCTGATGACTCGGACTTATGGGAAGCTGCATCCGATTTCGGCTGACGTCACCTGCTTGGATGCATCCATCAAGGTTGTCCTTAGACGATCCTCGGATGTTTTATAATTGCAATTTGATAAGCAATCGATATACTTTATATTTATTTATAAACAGTTTGCATGCTGGTTTTTATTCGTCGAACTCGGTCCGAAAGCATATGTGTGCAACAGGTTCAACTTGCAATTCCTTTCACTCCTTGCAAAGCTCATAGACGGAAACTTTCCATCGGCTGTAATGTTTTTCGTTTTCTTCAAGTCAATCTGCATATCGACTGCGTCAATGACATTGGGCCTGGGATAAAAAATAAGATAAAAAAACCATTGGAATTTTTCTTAACTTGTCCTCCGCAAGGAACTCATTGATGAAGAGCCGCACAAAATTATGAAGTTCACTTTAGCTGACGAGATACTCTCTGATTAAGCGAAGGATGAATGGAAGCAAAGAAGAAACGTTCATTTGATGTTCACAATTTGATAACGGTATCCTTTATTTTATTGTCGATGAAATTTTCATAATGTCGGAGGCTTTTCGTGTCGTGCTTTCTGTGAACGGAGAGGAAAATGGGAAACTCGTGGCATTTTCCCTGAAATTTTCATGTGATATTGCACCAGTTGAACTGTAAACCTATTCATGAATGAACAAAGCAAAACCTCCAGGACGAAAACGAAATCTTATTCGATTGTGTTGCTCTTTTTTCCAACAGACCAGTAAAAGCACAATATATATTCCCAGTGGATGATCGAACCGCAGTTTCTAACTTTGTGGCCGAAATTGATGGGAGAAAAATTCGGGGAAAGGTGAAGAACGGGATTGAAGTCAGTGATTTCTACGAAGAGGCAGCGAAAGCAGATAATACCTCATTTATTCGTCGAGGAGGAAACGCAAGAAATATTGATGGCCAATGTCGGGAACCTACCTGCTGGGAGCCAAGCAACGATCAGATTTTCCAATGCAACCGAGGCAACAGCGGTTGGAGACGCATTCAGATTTGTCATCCCGACTGCCATAGCCCCGGGGGACGTACCTCACATAGATGATGGCGGAGCGACCGAGACCTTCTCGCCATGCCCCTTGGAAAATACTAGTACACATTGAGACAGGTCATGAAGTTCTGTCCATTGGCAGTCCCACGCATGAAATCAACGTTCCCTCGAGAAATGATTTCTCGCCTGTCAGGAACAAATTTAAAACCGAGGTGGTCCTCGAAGGAACATCGAGAGACATGGACGAGGATTTCGTACTTGTTCTTCAGACGATGGAGTCGCATCGGCCCAGACTGATATTGGAAAGGGGTTCAGATGCCACAGTTGCTGCCGTAGTGACAATGGTCCCAAAGTTCAACATGACTGAGTCGTTGTTGAAATACGAAATTGTATCTGATCGTAGTGGATCCATGGCAGGGAACAAGATGAAGAAGGCCAAGGAGTGATTGCCGTCAGTCCTTCAGCGTATGCCCAAAGACTCGTATTTCAACATCATGAGCTTCGGTTCCAGTTTTTACTCGTTGTGGGAAAAAAGCCAGAAGGATGAAAAAGGTTGCAAATACGAGGTATTGCAATACGTTAACGAAATGGAGGCGAGCATGGACGACATCGAAATACGTGAACCCCTCGATTCCATTTTCGAACAGAAGCAGCTGGACGGAAATGCTCGACAGATCATCGTCCTCACTGCTGGCCGAGTGAGCGACATGGAGGTGGTTATTTCCCTGGTGAGGGACAACTGCAAGATGAACAAAACGAGGTATTTTGCCTTGGGGATAGGTACCGACGTCAGTCGTCGCCTGGTGAATGGCATTGCGAGGGCCGGTAACGGAGTGGCTCTTTTTGCAACCCTGAATGAAAGTATAAATGGGAAATTGCAACACCTCCTTGAGTTTTCCTTACAGGCGACGCTATCGTCTGCTGAAGTAATTTGGGCTCACTCTGACACCATCCCGAAGGGAATATGAAGAAGCCAACGGTGCAGTTGTCACTGAG